TATCCCCCCTTATGTATTATAACGTGGAGATCATATCCCCCCTTATGTATTATACACATATCTCCCCTTATGTATTATATATGGAGATCATATTCCCCCCCTTATGTATTATACATGGAGATCATATCCCCCTTATGTATTATACATGGTGATCATATCCCCCCTTATGTATTATACATGGAGATCATATCCCCCCTTATGTATTATACATGGAGATCATATCCCCCCTTATGTATTATACATGGAGATCATATCCCCCCTTATGTATTATACATGGAGATCATATCCCCCCCTTATGTATTATATGTGGAGATCATATCCCCCCCTTATGTATTATACATGGAGATCATATCCCCCTTATGTATTATACATGGATATCATATCCCCCCTTATGTATTATATGTGGAGATCATATCCCCCCCTTATGTATTATACATGGAGATCATATCCCCCCTTATGTATTATACATGGAGATCATATCCCCCCTTATGTATTATACATGGAGATCATATCCCCCCCTTATGTATTATACATGGAGATCATATCCCCCCTTAATCTCCTCTTGTCAGTAGACAATACATTCAGTTCCTCTAATCTCTCCTCATAGCTGATCTCCTCCATGCCTCGTATCAGTTTGGTTGCCCTTCTTTGTACTTCCTCCAGTTCCCCAATGTTCTGTTTGTGAATTGGAGCCCAAAACTGAACTGCATATTCCAGATGAGGTCTTATTAATGATTTGTACCCGGGGGGGGGGGGGGGGGGGGGGGGGGGGGGGGGGATATATCTCTCTGGGGTCTATACCTAATACAAGAGAGAGATTTTGCTCGCTTTAGAGTCAAACCAACTACCCGAGTATTACCACGCCGCCCGCACTGGAAATCGCATCCGTAGACGTTTTCAGTAGAAGTGTAGGGACTTCTTTCCTGCGTGTCCCGGGGCACAGGAGTCCATTTAAATGACTGGGCTCTCGTGTTTGCCCAAAACGTGTCCTGCAGGAACGCGGATATGTGAACCGGGGCTTAGCCAGTATGCTGCCCATGCCTCAAGTCTGCCCCCCCAACTGCCGATCTAAATGTGACGTCAGATATCAGGTCCGCCGACTCTTCATTTCCAGAATACACTCCGGGCCCCATGATTGGACGTTTATAAATGTCTCTTATTTTGTTTCATTTTACAAAAACGTTTCTTTTTTTGTAACAAAGTTACATTTGGATTGTTGTCTGTACACCGGCAATTGTTATGTTTTGTGTTGTGTAGGTTTTCACATTCTGCACGCCACGCTAATGTGCTTCTTTTTTTGAGCGGTCTGCCCTACGTGTGACCACCGCGCCTAAGAAGCTCCTATTTTTTTTAGGCGGCGAGCCTCACGTTTTTTTTGTGTGACGAGAAACGACATCTGCTGGCTGCGCTTGGGGCACCAATAACAATTAACGACACTGAAAGCGCAACATGGCCGGATCTGTGGGGGGGGGGGGGGTGAGGGGTGCTGGGGCGGGCTATGCCCCTCACATTTTAGTTGTGCCCTTCAAAGCCGACTTTGACCTGCCACCATGCTGCCCTATTCTGATGCTATGCCACTCTAATCTGATACTTTACCGCCCGAATCTGACATTATACTGTCCTTGGCTGACACTGTACTGATCTCAGTTTTGTGTTGTGTGTGTGTGTGTGGGGGGGGGGGAGCTCTGCTGCCTGTGCCCACTCTGTGTGCAGTGCAGGGATGGGAGAAAGAGCTGTGCCAGCAGTGACCCCTGTCCTCTGATCTTCTAGCAGTGACCCCTATCCTCTGCCCTTCCAGCAGTGACCCCTGTCCTCTGACCTTCCAGCAGTGACCCCTGTCCTCTGCCTAGACAGCAGTGACCTCTGTCCTCTGCCCTGCCAGCAGTGACCCCTGTCCTCTGACCTCCCAGCAGTGACCCCTGTCCTCTGCCCAGACAGCAGTGACCCCTGTCCTCTGCCCTGCCAGCAGTGAACCCTGTCCTCTGCCCTGCCAGCAGTGACCCCTGTCCTCTGCCCTGCCAGCAGTGACCCCTGTCCTCTGCCCTGCCAGCAGTGACCCCTGTCCTCTGCCCTGCCAGCAGTGACCCCTGTCCTCTGACCTTCTAGCAGTGACCCCTGTCCTCTGACCTTCCAGCAGTGACCCCTGTCCTCTGCCCTGCCAGCAGTGACCCCTGTCCTCTGCCCTGCCAGCAATGACCCCTGTCCTCTGCCCAGCCAGCAGTGACCCCTGTCCTCTGCCTAGACAGCAGTGACCCCTGTCCTCTGCCCAGACCCCAGTGACCCCTGTCCTCTGACCTCCCAGCAGTGACCCCTGTCCTCTGCCCAGCCAGCAGTGACCCCTGTCCTCTGCCCAGACAGCAGTGACCTCTGTCCTCTGCCCAGACTGCAGTGACCCCTGTCCTCTGCCCTGCCAGCAGTGACCCCTGTCCTCTGCCCTGCCAGCAGTGACCCCTGTCCTCTGCCCAGACAGCAGTGACCCCTGTCCTCTGCCCTGCCAGCAGTGACCCCTGTCCTCTGCCCAGACAGCAGTGACCCCTGTCCTCTGCCCAGACAGCAGTGACCCCTGTCCTCTGCCCAGACAGCAGTGACCCCTGTCCTCTGCCCTGCCAGCAGTGACCCCTGTCCTCTGCCCAGACAGCAGTGACCCCTGTCCTCTGCCCAGACAGCAGTGACCCCTGTCCTCTGCCCTGCCAGCAATGACTCCTGTCCTCTGCCCAGACAGCAGTGACCCCTGTCCTCTGCCCAGCCAGCAGTGACCCCTGTCCTCTGCCCTGCCAGCAGTGACCCCTGTCCTCTGCCCAGACTGCAGTGACCCCTGTCCTCTGACCTCCCAGCAGTGACCCCTGTCCTCTGCCCAGCCAGCAGTGACCCCTGTCCTCTGCCCAGACAGCAGTGACCCCTGTCCTCTGACCTCCCAGCAGTGACCCCTGTCCTCTGCCCAGCCAGCAGTGACCCCTGTCCTCTGCCCAGACAGCAGTGACCCCTGTCCTCTGCCCAGACAGCAGTGACCCCTGTCCTCTGCCCTGCCAGCAGTGACCCCTGTCCTCTGCCCAGACAGCAGTGACCCCTGTCCTCTGCCCTGCCAGCAGTGACCCCTGTCCTCTGCCCAGACAGCAGTGACCCCTGTCCTCTGCCCAGACAGCAGTGACCCCTGTCCTCTGCCCAGACAGCAGTGACCCCTGTCCTCTGCCCTGCCAGCAGTGACCCCTGTCCTCTGCCCAGACAGCAGTGACCCCTGTCCTCTGCCCTGCCAGCAGTGACCCCTGTCCTCTGCCCTGCCAGCAATGACTCCTGTCCTCTGCCCAGACAGCAGTGACCCCTGTCCTCTGCCCAGCCAGCAGTGACCCCTGTCCTCTGCCCTGCCAGCAGTGACCCCTGTCCTCTGCCCAGACAGCAGTGACCCCTGTCCTCTGACCTCCCAGCAGTGACCCCTGTCCTCTGCCCAGCCAGCAGTGACCCCTGTCCTCTGCCCAGCCAGCAGTGACCCCTGTCCTCTGCCCAGACAGCAGTGACCCCTGTCCTCTGACCTCCCAGCAGTGACCCCTGTCCTCTGCCCAGCCAGCAGTGACCCCTGTCCTCTGCCCAGACAGCAGTGACCCCTGTCCTCTGCCCAGACAGCAGTGACCCCTGTCCTCTGCCCTGCCAGCAGTGACCCCTGTCCTCTGCCCAGACAGTAGTGACCCCTGTCCTCTGCCCAGCCAGCAGTGACCCCTGTCCTCTGACCTCCCAGCAGTGACCCCTGTCCTCTGCCCAGCCAGCAGTGACCCCTGTCCTCTGCCCAGACAGCAGTGACCCCTGTCCTCTGCCCAGACAGCAGTGACCCCTGTCCTCTGCCCAGACAGCAGTGACCCCTGTCCTCTGCCCAGACAGCAGTGACCCCTGTCCTCTGCCCTGCCAGCAGTGACCCCTGTCCTCTGCCCATACAGTAGTGACCCCTGTCCTCTGCTCTGCTGACCTCCCATCCTCTGCCACCCTGTCATTTCTTACTGCGCCCCTACATCAGACGAGCTAGATCCAGCCCTGAAGCACGATGCATGTCTGTAGCGCATGTCTCACACGCTCCAGGAATGCACACAGGAATGCATGTTTCCGCACACGTTTCCTGGGACACACAAGGGCCACAAAGGTTTCCGTTGCAGTTTTAGAAGAATAAATATACTGCCGATTATTTCTCCCTGCGGGGAGCACCAGCAATACATTCTGTAGCAGGAAGAATAAAACGATAAGAGGAAATTGAGAGTAATTCAAGTAAGAAACAATTAGATGAATAAACAGAATAATTGTTATAGAACAAGAAATAAAATAATAGGAAGTGAATAATAATGAAATAAAGAAACAATTAGATGAATAAAATAACAGAAGGAAAACAAATTCCTTTACACAGGTGATGACAATAGGAGACTCTCAGTCCAGCCTCAAGAACTTGGCTCCTCCCATTCAGTCTTGCACAGGTGTACTGGCTCCTCCCCTTCAGTCTTGCAGAGGTGTACCAGCTCCTCCCCTTCCATCTTGCACAGGTGTACTGGCTCCTCCCCCTCAGTCTTGCACAGGTGTACTGGCTCCTCCCCTTCAGTCTTGCACAGGTGTACCGGCTCCTCCCCTTCAGTCTTGCACAGTTGTACCAGCTCCTCCCCTTTAGTCTTGCACATGTGCACCGGCTCCTCCCCTTCAGTCTTGCAAAGGTGTAGCGGCTCCTCCCATTCAGTCTTGAACACGTCTATCGGCTCCTCCCCTTCACTCTTGCACAGATGTACCGGCTCCTCCCCTTCACTCTTGCACAGATGTACCGGCTCCTCCCCTTCACTCTTGCACATGTGCGCTGGCTCCTCCCCTTCAGTCTTGCACAGGTGTACTGGCTCCTCCCCTTCAGTCTTGCACAGGTGTACTGGCTCCTCCCCTTTATTCTTGCACAGGTGTACCAACTCCTCCCCTTCAGTCTTGCACAGGTGTACTGGCTCCTCCCCTTTATTCTTGCACAGGTGTACCAACTCCTCCCCTTCAGTCTTGCACAGGTGTACTGGCTCCTCCCCTTTATTCTTGCACAGGTGTACCAACTCCTCCCCTTCAGTCTTGCACAGGTGTACTGGCTCCTCTCCTTTAGTCTTGCACAGGTGTATAGGCTCCTCCCCTTCCATCTTGCACAAGTGTAATGGCTCCTCCCTTTCAGTCTTGCACAGGTTTACTGGCTCCTCCCCTTCTGTCTTGCACAGGTGTACTAGCTCCTCCCCTTCAGTCTTGCACAGGTGTGCCAGCTCCTCCCCTTCAGTCTTGCACAGGTGTACCTGCTCCTCCCCTTCAGTCTTGGACATGTGTACTGGCTCCTCCCCTTCAGTCTTGCACAGGTGTACTGGCTCCTCCCCTTCAGTCTTGCACATGTGTACTGGCTCCTCCCCTTCAGTCTTGCACAGGTGTACTGGCTCCTCCCCTTCAGGCTTGCACAGCTGTAGCGGCTCCTCCCCTTCAGTCTTGCACAGGTGTAGAGGCTCCTCCCCTGGACTGGCTTCCTCTGATGTCACTGCAGACTGGGAGCTTCTCACAATGTGCATTAGAAGATGCAGCAAGTCAGATAGAGCTCCGCCTCATTTCCTGGGTGGAGGATGTCCAGCATCATCTAGCACTTTCCTCCCCAGCCTGACTGCCCCTTCCATTCATTGGCTTTTGGTTCTTTCAGCCATGGAGGCTCAGCATCATGTGTGGGCGTTTCCTATGCAAATTACCTGCCTAGGACCGCCCACTCCTCCAGACTGTACATCCAAAAATCTAATACCTACAGCAGAGCCTATAGAGGAACATTCCTGTGTTGGTGATATTTTCCAGCGTGCTGGACTTTCCAATCCTGCAGACTTTGGGGTCACCTGATTATTGCCCATTTTTTAAACATTTTTGCAATCTGCCATAATGACGAGCGAAGCCGCGTCTGTGGTGGCCGGAGAGGAGAAACGGAACGCCATCCGGAACCCGTTCCCACCAGTGATGACCTTTATTCAGAAATGCTTTTCTCAGGCAGACGAAGCGGCCGAGCCGAATCCTTTTCATGCCGAGCCAAGAGAAAAAAAAATATCTCCCTAATATGATTCCCTCTGAATGAATTCCCATCGCCGTTGGATCTGAGCGCCCTGCGCCTCGCCGAGACCCCTGATGGAGCGCCCAGCTCCCGAGTACAATGGGGCCCATTTATGAGGCTTCCCGCCCGCAGGACCGGCCCCCTGGCAGGAAAAAGAGCAGCTTAAAAGATGCGCCCAAAGCCGCGTTCTGCACACATATTGAAGCGCATTTAGGTGCACCAAGCGTTTGCACATCCGTGGATTCCATTGGCTGCAATGGTCATTTATTGTGGCCATCAATGAAAGCTAAAGCACTAAACACGCCCCTCGCGCCTCGATGTGTGCGCCGCCGCGGCTCTAGGAGCGATATTTAGGAGGTAATAAACCCAAAAGTAAAAAATAATTATATTGCAGCTTATCAGTTCTTAGATGTGACGGCTGCATTAGTTTTCTTTTATTGTTATTGTTATTAACCCCTCCCCCTCCAGAGGATTCCCCCCTCCTCGCCCTCCAGAGGATTCCCCCCCCCTCGCCCTCCAGAGGATTCCCCCCTCCTCGCCCTCCAGAGGATTCCCCCCCCCCCTCGTCCTCCAGAGGATTCCCCCCCTCACCCTCCAGAGGATTCCCCCCTCCTCGCCCTCCAGAGGATTCCCCCCTCCTCGCCCTCCAGAGGATTCCTCGCCCTCCAGAGGATTCCCCCCTCCTCGCCCTCCAGAGGATTCCCCCCCCCTCGCCCTCCAGAGGATTCCCCCCCTCACCCTCCAGAGGATTCCCCCCTCCTCGCCCTCCAGACAATTTCCCCCCCCTTGCCCTCCAGAGGATTCCCCCCCCCCTCACCCTCCAGACAATTCCCCCCCCCCCTTGCCCTCCAGAAGATTCCCCCCCTCACCCTCCAGAGGATTCCCCCCTCCTCGCCCTCCAGACAATCCCCCCCCCCTTGCCCTCCAGAGGATTCCCCCCTCACCCTCCAGAGGATTCCCCCACCTCCTCGCCCTCCAGACAATACCCCCCCTTGCCCTCCAGAGGATTCCCCCCTCACCCTCCAGAGGATTCCCCCTTCCTCGCCCTCCAGAGGATTCCCCCCCTCCAAAGGATCCCCCCCCTCGCCCTCCAGAGGATCCCCCCCTCACCCTCCAGAGGATTCCCCCATCCTCGCCCTTCGGAGGATTTCCCCCCTCCTCACCCTCCAGAGGATTTCCCCCCCTCCTCCCCCTCCAGAGGATTCCCCCATCACCCTCCAGAGGATTCCCCCCTCGCCCTCCAGAGGATTCCCCCCCTCACCCTCCAGAGGATTCCCCCCTCCTCGCCCTCCAGACAATTCCCCCCCCCCTTGCCCTCCAGAGGATTTCCCCCTCCTCGCCCTCCAGACAATTCCCCCCTCAGCATCCAGAGGATTCCCCCCTCCTTGCCCTCCTCGCCCTCCAGAGGATTCTCCCCCCTCCAAAGGATTCCCTCCCCTCGCCCTCCAGAGGATCCCCCCCCCATCACAAAAAGGGAACAAAAAAACAAACAAAAAAAAAGCCTCAAGAAAAGCCAGAAAATGCTGACGCTCAGGTGTGGATGGAGTCTAATGGTTTGGGGTCAGTAAGGGGCGAGACATGGGGTGGGCCGGAGGGGCGGCTGCCTTGGGCCCTGCAGTATGTAGGTGGGGGGGGGCAAAATTTGGGGGCAGCAGGGGGGTAAGATTTGTTTTAGGAGAGGATATTTGGGGATGTGTGCTAGGAGTGGTAATTGGGGGGATTTGTGTTGGGGGGAAGATGATTTGTGTTAGGAGGTGAAATGTGGGGGTATTTGTGTTGGGAGGGGAGAGGATTTGTGTTAGGAGAGGAGATTTGGGGGGATTTGTGTTAGGGGGGAGGATTTGGGGGATTTGTGTTGGGGGAGGGGGATTTGTGATAGGAGGGGAGATTTGGGGGGATTTGTGATAGGAGGGGAGATTTGGGGGGATTTGTGTTGGGGGGGGAGGATTTGGGGGATTTGTGTTGGGGGGGGATTTGTGATAGGAGGGGAGATTTGGGGGGATTTGTGATAGGAGGGGAGATTTGGGGGGATTTGTGTTGGGGGGGATTTGGGGGGATTTGTGATAGGAGGGGAGATTTGCGGGGATTTGTGATAGGAGGGGAGATTTGGAGGGATTTGTGTTGGGGGGGAGATTTGGGGTGATTTGTGCTAGGAGGGGAGATTTGGGGGGATTTGTGCCAGGAGGGGAGATTTGGGGGGATTTGTGTTGAGGGGGAGATTTGTGTTGGGGGGATTTGTGTTGGGGGGGAGACTTGGGGGGATTTGTGTTGGGGGGAGATTTGGGGGGATTTGTGTTGGGGGGGAGACTTGGGGGGATTTGTGTTGGGGGGAGATTTGGGGGGATTTGTGTTGGGGGGGAGATTTGGGTGGATTTGTGTTGGGGGGGAGATTTGGGGGGATTTGTGTTGGTGGGGGGATTTGTGTTGGGGGGGAGATTTGGGTGGATTTGTGTTGGGGGGGGGATTTGGGGGGATTAGTATTGATTCTGCCCCTCCCCGTCACATGTCTGCACCTCGCTGATTGCCGATCGTTTTGTTTTCTTCGCAGGAAACCGTCATCGCATTTTCAGTGTTGGGCTTCGGGCTCCTCTCTCCGGCTGGATATATCCTGACTCACCTTCCCAACTCCCCCAGACACTAGAGGGCGACGGAGACGCCGCAGAGCGATCGCTACACAGATCCAACGATTAAACGTCCATCCAGATTCCCACAGCTATATATTATGTTTTATTCGATGTCTTCCTCACCATCTGCCAGTGTATGGAGGGAACCCGGAGAGGCGGAGTCATCACGAATCATCGCTGAGCTGTTCAATAAAACGGCATTCGTTGTGTGTGACCCGGGGGGGGGGGGAATGTTACCGGGACAGGGACTCTCCGGGTCGAACGTTCTTCATGGAGTGCATCAGGAACAGACGTGCGCAGAACGAAGGAAATGCCATTAGTTCAGTTTCGGATCGATTCGTTAAGTCGCTCGTTTCATTTTGTTTCGTTTATTCATTTTTGACCGAATTCAAATTTTTACAACGGATTTCAAATTAAATGCGAATCGAAAATATCAAATCGATTTGTATTCACTGCGAAGAACAGCTGGATCTGTTCTATTCAAAATTAGAGTTTTCAAAGGATTTCTATTCTATTCTTTTCTATTCTATTCCTTCATTTTTCTACTCTATTTTATTCTTTTCTATTCTATTTTATTCTATTCTTTTCAAAATTCACATTTCAGAAGACGGCTGTAGGCCGGGTTCACACCAAGGTGTTTTTTAGAGCTTTTTTTGCAGAAAAGCACTACAGTCCATTTGCATTGGTTTCCTATGGGACTCGTTCACATCGATCGAAATGCATTGTGACGAACAGCTGGTTCTATTTTATTCGAAATTTTAATTTTGAAAAGATTACTTTCTATTCTATTCTATTTGTTCTATTCTATTATTTTCTATTTTATTCTATTCTTTTATCTTCTATTCTTTTCTATTCTATTCCTTCATTTTATACTTTATTTCATTCTATTATTTTATTCTATTCGTTTCAAAATTTGAATTTCGGAAGACGGCTGTAGGCCGGGTTCACTCCTGTGTGCGTTTTGTTTGCAGAATGTGAATATTTGGAATTTGTTTTCAATATTGATTTTGTTTTTTTTCAAATTTAATTAAGATTTCGTTCCGCTGTTTCCTATTCCTTTTAAATTCGTTACTGTCGTAATTCAGAAATTCGGATACATCTGAATCTCCAAATAATGTTTTGAATGTTGTTCTATTCTATTTGAAATTAGAATTTTGAAAGGATTACATTCTATTCTATTCTATACTATATTGTATTCTTTTATTTTCTATTCCATTTCATTCTAATATTTTCTTTTTGAATTTTGAATTTCGGAAGACGACTAGATTCTATTCTATTTTATTCTATTCGGGTCCCTGAATGTTTTGAACGTTGTATCTGAATAATAATCTCTGGGATCAATAAAGATCATATATTGAATCTGGTCTATGGCCTCCCCTCTGTGTGCGTCTTGTTTCATCGCTTTTGGTGCTGTTGTAGTCACTTAGGCTTCGCTCACAGGGGCAGCTAGGGGGGCGGTAAAACCAAGCGGTTGAGGACGGAAGGGCCCCAGATCTGGAGGGAAGGGACCCAGGCTCAGAGGGAAGGACCCCAGGCTTGGAGGGAAAGCGGGCTCCTCATGGTTTCATGGTTTCTTGCACCGGGGCCCTGAAGGTTCTAGTTACTGTAATAAAGGGCCACGCAATGGGAGTAATGGGCCCCAGGTTCAGTGGGAAGGGCCCCGATCTGAAGAGAAGGGACCCAGGCTCAGAGGGAAGAACCCCAGGCTCTTAGGGAATCCCAGGCTCGAAGGGAAGGACTCTGGGCTTGGAGGGAAAGCGGACTCCTCGTGGTTTCTTTCACTGGGGCCCTGAAGGTTCTGGGTACCATTATAAAGGGCCACGCAATGGAAGTAAAGAGCCCCAGTAGCAGTAGGAAGGGCCCTGGATCTGGAGGGAAGGAACTCTGGCTCGGAGGGAAGGACCCGGGGCTCCCCATGTTTTCGAGGTTTCTTGCACCAGGGCCCTGAAGATTCTTGTTACCATAATAAAGGGCCCCGCAATAGGCATAAAAGGCCCTGGGATCAGTGGGAAGGGCCCCGGATCTGGAGGGAAGGGTCCTGGGATGGTAGGGAAGGACCCTG